CTTTATTTTCTGTAATGCAATTAAAAACATGAAATGTCATACATTCTGGATTCATTACAAATCAACTGAAATATCGCAAGTCTTTTATTGTTTTAATATTGCTGATTATGGCGTACAGCTGAAGAAAACCCCAAAATCCTATCTCAAAATATAAAGAACTTTATCACAATATTCTCATTTTCTGAGATACCGAACCGAACCGAAAACCATGACCACGAAACCGTGAACCGAACCGAACTGGATTTTGTGAACCGTCCCGCCCCTAATAGCCCGGTTCTAACAGGCTCCGTGCATCTGTCTCTGGCATGAGCACCTGCTGCCATAAAGCACGGCCACGCCCGGACATGAGGTCACCCTCTACTCCAGGAGACGGACCTCTAAATTAAACCCGTCTGATTCAGGCCGGTGGCGGTCAGCCGGTGATGTCATCGCAGCGTTAGGGATGACATCATGCAGACGAGCAGGACTTTGCAAAAGAGAAACGGGTCAGATTCCTCCAGTTTCCCCGTCCTGCTCGATCCAGAACAGAAGCTGAAGCTAATCACCCCCCTGTCATGAGATATGGAAACAAGGGTTTATTATTATTTTTTTTTCCTTGTCGTGTTTGGCATTATAGCAACAGAACTGTAATCTGAGTCCCGACACTTTTGCTTTGCCAAGGGAGGCCTGTCAGGGTGAGAACCCTCCCCTGATCATCCCATGCTGCTTTATTATACATTTAGGATTTATTTTTGTTACATAAGTTATATGGCTAATGCCAACCATGACCGGGGGACAGGAAAGGGGAAAAAAGATTCCTAAAACAGGAAGAGAGGAGAGAAAAATAAAAAAAAGGAAAGAGAGACAACAAAACCATCCATCCAGCTGCTGCATCTGTAGAAAGTGTTTTTTTTAACAGAAACGCTCTCAAAAGGAGTGGATGGTAGACATGGGACAAAACAAGGCTGTGAAAAAACTATGAACAAAGTAACAAAGCAAGATTACATGACTGTGAAAAAACATGGCTGTGACAAAAACATGGCTGTGACAAAAACATGGCTGTGACAAAAACATGGCTGTGACAAAAACATGGCTGTGACAAAAACATGAACAAAGTATCAAATAAGGTAAACATGGCTATGGCAAAAACATGGCTATGGCAAAAACATGGCTATGGTACAGAAACAAGACTATGGCAATAAAGTAAACTAGGCTGTGAGAAAATCAAACCTGACGTGGCGAGGGGTGACGAAAACAGAAAGACGCAAACGCACTGGCACAGGACATGGGAAACGAGGACTATTTGAACACATGAGGGAGGGGAACCCCAGGTGAACACAATAGGTAATCAAGACC